ACTGGATCCTCTAACATATGACTCAGCTGGAATCTGTATGATCTATTGGACTATTTTGTAACTGTTGGACTTTTTTTTTTTTTTTAATGTAGGAGAAAGGTAAGTATTTGGACATGGACAAAAGACATTTCTGCAACTGTTAAATTACAGCTGCTTTCATCACACTGTGTCAATGCACTGGTCACTTTTTTAAGTACACCTGTCTAACTGCTTGTTAAGCCAAATATCTAACCAGCCAATCGCATGGCAGCAGCTCAAAATATTTAGTTGGGTCAAGACAACATGGTGAAGTTCAAACTGAGCACCAGAATGGGGAAGAAAGGTGATTTAAGTGACTTTGAAACTGGAATGTTTGTTGTTGTCAAGACAGGCTGGTGTGAGTATTTCAGAAACTGTTGATCTACTGTTGATCTGTGGAATTTCCCCACATAGCAATCTCTAGTGTTTACAGAAATTGGTCAGAAAAAGACAAAATACAAAGTGAGAGGCAGTTCTCTGGGTAAAAGTGCCTTGTTACTGAAGCAAAAGCGGGCTTGATCTGGTACTAGCAAGGTGTACCTAAAGAGTCACCGATATGATGATGAGCAATTGGGAACACAAAGAAAAGGAAAATTTAAAAATGAGATATAAATAATGAGTTAATTAAATACAGTCAAAAGCAGCCTTTATAGGAGGCTTTGAGGCAGATGGGCAAAATTTGCAGTTAATTGAAACAACACATCTTAAAACTGTCAATTTGTCCTTATATTAACTTCCACACAATTTCCTCAGGGATTAATAAAGTATTCTTATTTTAAGGGCATCACTAAACCTGATCTGACAGACTTGAAATCTTACTTCAGGGTGCATTTTTGTTGCTGTTGTCTTGTTGTCAGCCATACTTTGGGATTGTGTTATGATAGGAATTTCAGCAAACTTGGCGTCTGACTTTGACCGCGTCTGAGATTTTTAGGACACACACCTATGGTATATCAATTTGAAAATCCTACGTCGTCTCGTTGGAGTAATCGTGTCCATGTCACTCGCACAGAGAGACAACATCAATACTCCAGGTCTTTTATGACTGTGGGCTCAAAATGTTTCACATCATTTCATTTTATTTACCTAAAGAGCACAGTTTGTAAATAAAATAATGCAAAAGGTGGCATTGTTTTGCATAACTTCAGTCCTTTGTGGATATGTAGAGACCTTATGTGTCTCCAAAGTCAGCTCGGTATATCCAGAAATAGTGGCTGCTCCTGGCCTTGGCCGACTGGTTTACTACTGGCTTCAATACTTTCCACTGCGCAGCGTTTTGCAAACAGCACTATCAGATATCAGGATGCAGCCACTGGGCATTAGCTAAGCATGTGTCTGCTTCATGTTTCTTCAAGACCAGAGGGAAGCTTTTTGTGTGACCACTGGCCCAGAAACTTTCGCAATATTGTGTGAAAATTAAAAAAAATATGAGTTTTCCTCTTGTATATACCAGGCACACTGCCACTGATGATCTTACCTTCTTTTTGTCTCTCATGGAGCTTTTTCCTCGCACCATGATTTTGCATCCCGTTTCTGCTTCCAACTGTTTGGCTGTGAGTCCCCGCGGGCCAAGGATTCTCCCCACAAAGTTATACTGCAGAAAGAGAGAGAGGGAAAAAAAAAAAAAAAACCTTGTGAGTCTATATACAGACACATAAAAGACAGAAAAATTTACATTTTATTTACCTCAGAGAAACCCTTCATAAGCAATAAGCAGTTTCCATGAGCTTTCAAAAAGCACGACCTCAGCTTTGTTGGATATCACGCCTCTGCTACAAAGACTACACGCACAGCCAAAACTACCCTCTTTCAGCCTTTCAGGAGCCATTTTCACACCTGCACTACAAACCTGAACTTTTCTCGACAACAACACTGGAGGATTTGTGTCTGAGAACACAAAAGTCCATATCAGTCTGACAGGATATTAAACTGACCCCACCCTGCCAGTTCCCTATGCAGTGTAATGTCCACTTCACTTAAGCAAGTACGCGTGCAGGTGCCGTCCATCATGTGTTTTCTGTGATCTACCAGGCCATGCTTAACCCAAAATAGATTTTTTCCCCCTTGTCTTACACAAACAATCTGCTGTCTGCTAAATGTAGGAAAGGAAAAGTTGGTAACCAGCAGACACAGTTCCTCTTTTTTTTTTCAGTTTTTTCCCACCTATTTGACTGGAAACTGTTAAAATAGCTGCACTGGTTGTATTTTTTGTCCCTTCACCACAATGAGAGCACAATCACAGACGACAGTGAGGTTGGCTTGCCCCAATAGATGTCAAAATGATCTCAAACAAAAAATAGAATATTAACTACACAGGGTGTAGTTTGGGTGGGCATGGTGGAAAAAGAACAAGGGAAATTGAGGTGGAAAGTGTGCTAGGGGTTGTGAAGTATGGCAGTGTGTTTTGACACAATTTTATTATCATGGCCCCCCCTTTCACTGGTGAGTGGCTGTGGAGCTTTGTACCACAAGGAAACAAATTTGCCAACATAATCCTCTTGACATGAAACTGGTTTCCAACAGGATAAAGAGAAAACATGTTGGAATAATCCAAATCAATTTTCAGCCAGAACGAAAACAGAGGGTAAGGAGGAGCACAGTGATGTATAAAAAGGTAAACAAACCACCCAGGTTTCAATAACGTATGCTGGTGGAGAGCATGACGGGTAAGAGATGCCCCCTCCCCCCTTCTTTTTCTACCTGAAAATGCTCACTGCCATAGCGGAAAGCTTTCCTTGACAATCAGAAGCACAACTATTCGTCTCTTGGGCTGTCGCAATGAGCTGTGACACCACAGCATTAAATTCTTAAAACGCAGTCACATCTGCTTGCGCACGCCACCGCACCAGTGCCTCTGCAAAATCCAAAAGGCTATCAGAGGAGTCACATTTAATTACAGAGGGATTACAAATTTAATGTGATGTTGCCAGTATTTCCCCTAAACAACATAAATGCTACTGAGGACAATCGAAAACTCCGGGCCTTTTGTTTTTCTAGTCCCTGTCGGTGGGTTTTGCCTGCATCCCTGGCCTGTCTCTAACAGGAAAGACACACCCTGTGACTGGAGTCTCCCACAGACGATCATGGCGTGCTGCTACACAGGCTGCAAGCGTGCTTTTCTCTGTCACAAGGCAACTGTCTGTTTGGTTAACTCGAATGCAGGAAACTGGCACAGGGGCTACATTTGTGTGTGTGCCAGCTGAAGGATGTAAGGACACCTGTCCTCGGAGGTCAGCCACCAACCAGGTATGGTGGCCTGCTTCTGACTTGTACGTAAACACACACATGCATGCACAGCCTCGAGAAGCACAGAAGAGAGAGCTGTCTGTCTGCATCACAGCTCCCGCTGCAGACGAGGGTGAACCCTGAGTACTGTGGTACTCCTACACATACCACACAAACACACAGTTTCTAACCCACTAAACTCAAGCTACAGTGATGTGTGTTACACTCTGCTAACAACAGTGGTGACATATTTGAAAAATGTTTTCTCTCATTTTATCGCATACAAGGTTAAAGAGAAAGAAAAAAATCTAAATGTATATGTAGATTTCTGTGCAGATATGACATGTGACAGCTCCAATTGGCCTTAAAACCTACAATATAACCCATCAGTCCCAAAACTGACAGATTTATTCACCGTGAATATATTAAATACATATATATTACACACCAAGCTTAAATCATCGGATTATAGAAGGGGGTAGGAGGATATCTGATTAAAACTCTGAGGTGGCAACTAGTCGAACCACTCACCTTTTTACAGCAGAGGTGTACAATGTGAACATGATTATGCTGTGTTTGTCAGAGAGCAGTGACATGAAGGAGGAAATCAGGAAGAAATAAAGAAAGGAAAAAGTTAGAGATGATGCCACATCTTGTTTTACCACTACTTGGGAAATGATTATGAGTAAGAAAGGCCAGCACCGGCGCATTCTCGTATTTTTCACACTGTGCAGGTAGACAAGCTAACTACTCAACTCCATCTGACGGGTCCTTGCAGATAAAAGAAGTGTGCGGATTGTTATGGCCCCAGGCCCTCTTGCGGTGGTGCTGTCTCTATTGAGTTGCAGGGGTTCCTGTGTACAGCTGAGTAAGACTGGTGGAAAAGCAGAAAACCCAGCGAGCACTCTGCACAGCTATTTAAACGCCACGTGCCTCGTCTGGCTTTGTCTCACATGTCCATATATTGCTTGCACACTTCACTTTTCTTCCTGTAAGTTTCAAAAATACTTATATATGTTAAGCTGGCAGTACACCTCAGTTTTTTGCTGTGATGTGACTACGCGAGCATTTCAACAAAGCAGCCACCTATCATATTTAAACTTTGCAATTTGAAAAATAACACCGCTGTAAAGAGTGAAGCCACATTTACTCAGTAACAGAATAAAGCTCAGCATTTTAATTGTAGTGGATGGCTCGCTTTGCTCCCTGGTCTGCAGTGAGGGTTTGACACTCTTTTCATGGATGTTGATATGCTTTTACAAAAAAACGACCTCCATTTTCAGCCACTGGAATGTAGAGACAATGAACAGCCAAGCGGGTGAGTTATCAGAAGGGTACAGGGCCCTCGACTCTGCCAGGAACTACACTCAGTACAGCCAGACAGGGGAGAAGGACGGATACTGTGCCCTGACTGCCAAATGCACTATCCAGTCTTCACCCGGGCCTGCTAAACTATCAAGCTAGCTTTCATTTTCTGTCTTCCTGCTGTTAAATCAACTCCGTGCTTCTGCAGACTTAAAAAACATCTGGGAGCCATCATTTTTCTCGTCTGGACTTCCAGAGCTTTATTATTGATTATCGTCAACAGATCTATGATTTTCCTCACTAAAAAGAAAAAGGAGGGGGGTTGGGCTCGATTATTTACAGTAGTAGAAAATTGCAATGGAACCCTTAGAGGACAAAGTCTTCTCTTCAGTTCTTGAGTTCAGTGTCACGTTATCCGAGTTTTCTCAAAGTTTCACCCCCCCCCCCCCCACAAAAAACAAACAAACAAACAACAAAATACAAATACAAACATATACAGTATTCACACATAGCTCATGTGTAAACACAAAGACATACAGATGCGCACACATTCATACTCACAAAGCCCCCTCCAGGACAAAGGCTTACACTGACATTAAAGGGCCTTTGTTTAGTCCCAGTTATCGCTACTCCACAGGCGGGTTATGCTGTGTGCATCTACGTCTCTGTCACTGTGTGTTTGTGAGCGTGTGTGACACAATGTATGGGGTGAACTCTTACAGACACCCTCGGCATACAGAGCTGCACGGGTTTGTGTGCACGGGCATTCTGGTTTTGTGTGAACTACTGAGAAAAAACAGCAGTTCCACCAACAATGCTCACAGAAGCAGAACAATTGTGCCTTTGACGGCGTTTGTTTGTGGTGGTGGGGAGACAGGAAATGAGATCATGCTGAGGGTTCTGACTGTGTGCGTGGAAGGCTTATCGAAGAGCCGGGCAAGGCCAGGAGCAGAATACCAATCACTTATTAACCAGCCTTGCTGGGCTTATGGAAATGAGGAATAGTTCATTCAGTGCAATGCATCATGGAAAGGAGGAACCTGGTTACACCAGGCACCATCATCTCTCCCCATCTTTTCACTTACTTTACTCTAAACCTCCCTCAAAGTCTGAAAGCATTATTGCGAAACAATGATATCCAGTTTATGGAGGCTTTACAGAGGTTACCAGCCCGCTTAGTTGGTAAAATACATCCCTTTTGTTTCCATATCCTCCCTTCTGTATCCATTCATAGCTTCTGGAAACTCTGCGGGCTTCCTTTTCCTCTTTGTCAGGACGTTGGCGTTTCCTTTGCTTATCTGTGACCCCCACCCCTGTAGTGGACAGGTTTTTCATTTAATCACAGACAACCTCCCTGCTTTTAGTCACTCATTTATCTTTGGGCTCTAGTGTTGCATCACTGAAATAATCCATCATATTTACCTTCACACTACTGCTTGATCCCTACCCCTGCCAAAAAAACAGTATAGAAGGAATATGAAATGGAGCAGACGGGTGTATAAACTACTGAAACCTGCATACCTGATGTTTGGGAGGGACAGAGGACAAGGCCATAGGCTGATGAAGGAGTGAAAATTAGACTTAGATTCCAGTGGTGACATTTACGCCTCAAAGCCCTACAGACTTCAAAGCTCTCCATTCAGCACACCCAGCATTTAGTGCCTAATCCATAGCTCCTTTGATAATTCTGTTTGGGTTTATTTCGGGGTTGCAGGCAGGGTGGAAATACAGACGAGTGAGGACGGAGAGATGGAAAGCATAAAGATTGATATTGGCTCAAAGTTTGGAAGATGTGAGTAAAGAAAGCAGCGAGCAAAGTTTGTAACCCTTTAGATAAACAAGAAGCTGGGATAAAAAATAAACAAGTAGAAACATGCTCAGTTACATTCAGCCTCACCCCTATGGTTAAACGTTACATAATCACAATGAATCAATAGAAGACCGAGAAAGATGTGGATTACTGTTATTCGTGTGATGCTAGCTTTCTCAGGAAAACTTGATGCCGGTTAGTTACATCTCACCAATATCCATTCAGTTTAACAGAATTATGCAAATTCAGGTAAA